GAGAGTTGAAGGCTCAGAGATAGATGGATCAGCTATTAAGTTAGGTTCACAAACAACACCTTCCTGAGTCTGATCAGAGTTATGACTTTGGGACTGCCAAATTACAGCAGTTTCAATTGATGAGGTAACAGCAACAGCAGCAGCGCCAGGATGCATCTCAGGTTTAATGTGAATTATTGTGCTTGCAGAAGATTCTGTGTGACTTTCTTTACCATGCAGGTGAGAATTAGGTTCTGATCTGATCAAGTTTTTTCCTCCCATATCTTGAATTTCATGATGAGGACTCGACTCTTCTGTAATGATTTTAATATTGTTCCCGGTTATAGTTTTCTCAAGGAGATAAGGCCCCGTCTCCTCATGTAAACTAGAATTCCATGGACTAGGAAAATGAACATTATGCTGCTCTTTACTCACTGCAATTACTGACGATTCTGTATGACTTCCTTTTCCATGCAGGTGAGATAAAGGTTCTGATTCCATCACCCTTGTCTCTCCCATATCATGAATATCATGGTGAAGACTAAACTCTTCGGTTTTGGTTTTATTATCATTCTCATTAATATTTCTCTCAAGGAGATGAGCTCTAGTCTCCTCATGTGAACTGGAATTCCTTGAACTAGGCAAATGAACATGGTAATGATCTTTACTCCAGTAGGATCTTGATCTATCACTCTTATCAGACTCGTGGTGAAAATACCGGCATGATGCTCCACGGTAGCACTTTCCTTTCTTGAAATTGAAGCATTCTGGTTGGTGAACATTCCCCCTTCTCATTTCATCCCTACCACCAAACCCAGGCCTAAAAGGGGACTTGCTCCTACTTCTGCGTCTTTTTGGTGATGCGCTGAGAAATAAAAAAACACGCAAAATATAACATAACCCAGTAGCAAAAAAAATTAATCAGAAACATCAGGACATACAAATTAATACTCCCACCATCCCAAAATAAGGTTTTAGGCTTGACCCAACACACTTATGAAAAATTGAAATTGTATTGTTGAGATTCACATACAGAAATAGAATAATATAAACCAAAGAATTATTTCCTCAAAAGGAAATATTAACTTTATTTTGGAACAGACAAAAAAAAAGCGCAAAGAAACTTTTTGGGACGGAGAATGCATCATTACCTCCTAGATCGCCCATGCCTATCCTTCCGTCGCCTTGGACTCCACCTCCTCCTATTGTAAGGGGATCGGCTTCTACTCAGGCTCCTTTCCCTTTTTACACGCCTCTTGTAACGTGGTGAATTCCTCCCAGAGTCACTGTCACTACTACATTCCCTGGCCACTCTACCAAAATCATCAATCTTCAACAAAGCAGGCGTGTTTTTCACAACCCTCTCTCTTACACAGGGTGATCGGCTTCTACTCAGGTTTTTTTCTCTTTTTACACGCCTTGTGTGACATGGTGAATCCCCTTCAGAGTCACTATCACTAGGACATTCTCTACCAAACTCGCCAATCTTCAGCATACCAGATGTGTTTTTCACATCATCCTCCCTTACACAAGGAGATCGGCTTCTCCACTGTCTATTTTCTCTTTTTTTACACTTCGTTTTGTAACGTGTTGAATCTCCTCCAGAGTCACTGTCACTAGCCCCTTTTCTTGCAAGACTCCCAAATTCACCAGTCATTGACAAAACGGATGTGTTTTTCATATCCTCCTTTGCTAAATCAAGAGTATCTGAAGGGGCATTAAAGGTGTCATCTCTCAGAGCATTGTTTCTACTATGCTCTTCATTACAAGTATCACTGCTACCATCCATGGATTTTTTTGCAATGTTACATGTCCTAGAAGTTTCACTAACCACCCTCTGTGATGCAATAGAAAGCTCAGGTGATTTTCCTGAATCGCCATTCATTATGGTTTGAACTTCAATCGAAACAGACTCTGGTGCAAGGTTGACATATCCAACTTCAATCTGACTTCCATCATTGTTGTTGTTGTCATCTAAACTGTCATCAGAAGAATATTCTTGTAGAAGACTGAAGGAACTTGGGCCTTCAGCATGCTGGTGGGTACAGTTTCCCAAACCCAACTTAGGATCAGCTTGGGCTGAACCTTCATGTATAAGAGAAGAGTCTCTTACTTCTGCAGCACCTGTAATTGGACTTGTGAATGACTGGTTGACTACAGAAGATGACTTGGCTATAGCAAACGGAAAAAAAATGATTCATTGTCACATGCAGAAAGAAACATAGATGCTGTCCAGCATATCATGGGCTGTCTAAGCCATTCAAATTATTGTGACATAATAGGCATATATTGATTGCACAAATCTGACTGACTAAAAGTTCTATCAGAAAAAAAAAACAAGAAACATATGTATACACCTAGGCAATGCATTAAGAACTATAAACAGTTCTTCCAATGAAAGCAGAAAGCGTAACCATTGAAATATAAACAACAATAACACAGTAAAGATCAAGACCGAATTAAGTCAAGATCAAGATCGAAGCTCGTTGACCAATTACACAAATGGAATTTGAAATGTTGACAGACAGCACTTTTATTACCATCAACAGTCATGGCACTGCAACCGAGTGATCTGATCCTATTTATCACTAATATGATCAAAATAATGAATTCTGCCCATGGAATGAGCTGCCTATGACTGGACTGCATTTCATGTACCACATAAGTTTAAGATTTTATATATTTCTAAAAAGATGGGCATTAAAGGTTGTTCTCACTAAAAATGACAAAGATATAACGGTACTGTACGCATTTAAAATTAGTGGTAATTATAATGCTTTCATAAGTTGGTAAGATTCCAAACTGGTGACTGAAGTGAAAGTAAATTGAATCAACATCTGAAGCGGAAAATAGTGACAATTTAAAAGGTTGGTCATTGAAATACATTCACATAGTTTAATCCACCATAGTTGAAGTCAAATACACTGAATTTCACATTTAATTCCTAACAGTATTATTTTTTCATTCTGGTCAAAAATTGAATAAAGTAGTTGTTGGGTTATTTGGTGAAGGCTTTAGAGCTTTGGGCATTGTTAGAATATAAGAAACATTTCCTGAGCCACAACCACAAGCTTGAGCTTTTGGTTGAGTTGGTTCCTTGACATGGTATCAGAGCCTTGTTGGCTAAGAGGCCACAGGTTCAAAACTCAGCGCCACCCAGTTTAAAAAAAATTAAGGTTTCACATGCGAAACTCGAAAAAAGACTACGCTTACACGTGAGGAGCGTGTTAGAATATAAGAAACATTTCCTGAGCCACAACCACAAGCTTGAGCTTTTGGTTGAGTTGGTTCCTTGCCAAGCATTAAGCGCAGTCGGCTAAAGGGAAGAAACATGGGTGGCCCGTTTCAATTATTAATCAAAGGGTCCATTAGTCCATTTAGTCGTTTCTTCTTTATCAAGTTGTTAGCCCTAGTTTATATCTCATAAATACCCAATCATGTAACTATATTTGTGAGCACCTAATAAAAGATAAACCCTAGTTGCAACCCGTGGAGTAGGTTACTGACCAAACCACGTTAAATCTCGTGTTCTTATTTTCTTCTATTTGTGTGTGTGCGTGTTTGTTTGCTTCTGCTTGACCGCCTCTGATCTTTGATTCCTAACAAGTGGTATCGGAGCCGTGGTTCAGTTAAACACACAGACGGTTACACAAGATCGATCGCAGGAAGAAGGCCGTTCGGGATCGTTTTTGCTGCTGTTTTGCTGCCGCGGTTAAGGTTAGTGAAATCTTTTGGAGCAGCTGCAAACAGGGACAACAGGTTGTCCGGTTTACTGATTCGATTAAGCCGCTGCAGGGGCTGGTTCGGATCTAATCAGAGGCTGGTTCGGATCTGGTCAGGGGCTGTTCGGTCGGTTTTAGGTGAACTTGGTGATTAGGGTTTCTGGTTTTGAACCCGGTACTCGTTGGTTCGGTTTCTTTGTTTTAAGGTTTGTTTTAAGGTTTGTTTTGAACCCGGTACTCGTCGGTTTCTTTGTTTTAAGGTTTTGAACCCGGTACTCGTTGGTTTGTTTCTCTGGTTTTTTTTCTCGTTTTGCAATGGCCGAGGACAGAAGGGTTCGAATCGAGAAGTTCAACGATACTGATTTTGCATGGTGGAAAATGCAAATAGAGGGTTGCTTGGTGAGTGCGATTTGGACATGGTACTGGAAGAGAAACCGGATGGAATGGATAAGGCTGCTGAAGCAATTTGGGACTCAAAGGACAAAAAGGCAAGAGGTAAAATTACATTGGCTTTGACGAGGAGTGTGGCGTTTAATATCATGAAGGAAACAACTACTTGTGGTATGTTAACAGCTCTGTCAAATATGTATGAGAAACCGTCAGCCGGTAATAAAGTGTTCTTGATGAGGGAATTGTTCATGATGAGAATGAACGAGGGCAGCCCAGTTGCTGATCACATTAATGAGGTCAATTTGATCTTGTCCAGGTTATCATCAGTAGGCATGAAGTTCGATGATGACACTCAGGCTGTGATTCTGTTATCTTCCTTGCTGATAGTTGGTCGGGATTTGTGACAACGGTTACTGAAACTTCTGGAACAGGAAACTAGAAGTTTGATCGGATTCGGGATAGCGTTTTGGGAGAAGACATTTTCCAGAGGAACGCTAGTGGAGGATCTACTTCTGGGTTACTCAGTGTTAGCAGGGAAATAGGTAATAACAGAAACAGTGGGAGTCATGGGAAGAGCTCGTCTAAGGCTGGAAAGAATGTGGTGTGCTGGGTCTGCAAAGAAGTTGGACATGTCAAGAGTCAATGTCCAAACAAGAAAAACAAAATTAGCACAATTGTTGGGAATGCATCTGATGATGATAATGATGCATTGATACTCAGCATGGAAACCTGTGTTGACTCTTGGGTCATGGATTCTGGTGCTTCATTTCACGCCATGCACAGCGTTGAGGCGATGGTGAATCTCAAAAAAGGAGACTTTGGAAAGGTAAGGTTGGGTAACGGGAAAATCCTTAAAGTGACGTGCATGGGAGATATTGATCTAAAAACTTCATCTGGAACTACTTGGAGCTTACAAAATGTCAGGTTGATTCCAAAACTGAAGACAAAGTTTATCTTTGTCGGACAATTGGATGAACAGGGACTAGATGTCAAGTTTGGTGGTGGAAAATGGAAGGTGATCAAAGGAAATTTGGTTATTGCTCGAGGCTTGAAAAGAGGATTGTTATACATGGTACCGTCTCAGGGAGTGACCAACCCGGTAAAGACGGTTAACAAAGTCGGGCTCACTAAATCGGGCAGAGCTAAGAAGGTTCATTTCGCAAATGTGAATCTTGGAGTTTTGGGGATGTCAGCTGAGTGTGTTCGGATGTCTGAATCAGGCCAGGGGTTACGTGACAGTGGGAGCATGGGATGTGTTCCAGGTACAATTCTGAAATGCCGTTGGGTTTTGAAGACCAAGAATCCAAATATTAAAATCTCTCCTGGGAATAGTTTGCTGGATCTGGAGAGTGGTAATGGTCCTCGGTGTATCTCTGGATCTGGTGGATTGTGCAAGCCGGTTGAGACATGTGGCGGTTACAGCCACGACTGGGTTGGAGCTCGGTGGAGCTTCAACTGTCCTTTCAGGTTATTAATGAATGGGGTGGCTGCAACTAGGGGATATAACTGGAGTCTTAACTTGTTCTTGGGAACTGGAGGCTTGGAGGACTGGACAGTGAAGATGACTCAGTTACTGACGATGGGTTTACTTGGATAGCATCTGTGTCTATGCAAAAGCCTTCAAGTGGGAGATTGTTGGGTTATTCGGTAAAGGCTTTAGAACTTTGGGCTTTTTAACCCGGTCGGCTAAAGGGAAGAAACATTGGTGGCCCATTTCAGTTATTAATTAAAGGGTCCATTAGTCGTTTCTTGTTTAACAAGTTGTTGCCTTTAGTTTATATCTTATAAATATACCCAATCATGTATCTATAATCTGTGAGCACCTAATAAAAGATAAACCCTAGTTGCAACCCGTGGAGTAGGTTACTGACTAAACCACGTTAAATCTCAATTTCTTATTTTCTGCTATTTGTGTGTGTGTGTGTTTGCTTCCACTTGACCGCCTCTGATCTCCCTAACAGTAGCTGTTTCACTCCTATGGTTGTGATCCTTGACTACTTAAAAAATTATATTGGAACAACCAAGCTATACATGACGGATTGATAGTTAAGTACATAAAATTCTAGAGAGCATCTAAAAAATACACTTCGGTCAGTAGGGGGGAAAGAGACTTTGTAAGACCCAAATGTAGACCTTTATGTCATAAATTATTTGAAGGTCTTGCAATGAAGTACAAGTAAATAAATAGCTTTGCACCTTGCCTTTCTTCATCTGCGTCTTCTGCTAAGCCATGCTCAGATTTGCTTGCTGCTCCTTGAAACTGAGCCTCGACAATAAGTTTATTTGATAGAGAAATAAACTCCTGATATGGACTACAAAATGAAGAAACCTTATGTTCTTCATCTGGCTGTGTGATATCATCTGAAGATTCACAGAAAAGTATTGCTTCAGAATTCCAACCGACATGCTTGAAAGTCAAAAATAGCTACACTCATCAATCAAAAACATAAAGCCATTAAAACACAAGAAGTTGCACTTTGAAAAAATTAAATGGGTGGCTGAAATTAAAAACTATTAACATGGACCGGTAAAATAGGTCTTCAGAAACAAGTCGAAACATTCCAAGAAGCCCGAAGTAAATTTAGGAATGAAAAAATGGTTAAGAATGGGATACAATTCTAAGAAACAGGAAAAGAAAAGTGCATTAATAAGTACAAACATTTGAGAAACAGTCATAACTGTTGGTTGACTTCTTTCACAATACTTCCAGAATACAATGACCAACATTGTATTAAAAGTTAAAACATAAATAGCCTATCAACAACCATACTTCAACAAGACATCTTGTGCTGCAATACATAAAAGAGAAATCAGAATTGTAGGAGTGACCAAGTTTTGGTTCTGGTTCTGGTCTAGCAGTTTAAGGTTCAATAATAAAAGGAATGCTTCAAAGAGGAAGTGGGGAATTGAAATTAAAGCACATTCGCAAATTGGAATCACCATTCAACAAATAGTCCCTCCCTCCCTTATCGAGCAGGCTTATCATACCTGAGCCAGCAAAAGATATAAAATAAAATTGAATGTAATGCATATCAAAACAAGCTATTATACCAACCTTCCATTTCCATATCAGAATTTGTAGGGGAATAGGATGCACCAGCATTTATGGAATCAGTAGATTGAAGCAAGGAGAGCATTGCTGGCACTCCCCTTGATATGTTTTCATTTCCATGAGCCTCATTCACATTCAATATATTACTATGATGGGGCTTAGAGAAAGAGTCAGGAACTTCCAGAGCATTACTATTTTGTTGTGTCCTATCAAGATACTTGGGGGATAAAGCAGGAACGTCCAATATTAGATTATCGCTTGCTGAAGATTTTATTGTGGGTCCAATTCCTTCACCTACTTCTCGAGGGCCTTCATTTGTACAAACTGAAGCTAAGCTGTCATTCACTGAGCCAAAAGCTGTTCCATCAACTGCAGTAGTTGTAGTTGTTTTGGATCCACTTTCTAACCGATTGGCCAGATTACAATATTTTGCAATAGGTGTTGATTTTGAAGCATCCGAATTTGGGGCAGGATGAATAGAAGGTGGAAGAGAATGTGGAACTGATGAGGCTCCTGCAAGAAAAGATGGGGGTGGAGGAGGAGGAGGACCAGCCATTGGCCTAAGAGGTGGCTGGGAAAAAAAGGAGCTGTTCAGATCAGATGCTTGTAATGCTACACTCTGAAAAGCCTGGCTATTACCTGGTGCTGGTAGATGCATATGTACAGAACCTCCATAATGTGTTGGTGTTTGTGGTGGAGGTGGTGGAAAGAATCTGGGAGCTCTGGGAGCTGTTGCGGGCAGAGTATGATGCACATTATGACCCCATTGTTGAGAAAATATGGAAGTTTGATAGGAGCTAGGCGTTGGAGCGCTTTGATGAAGTTGAGCAGGTGGTGGTGGTGGTGGTGGAGGAGGAGGAGTAGGAGGTGGTGCAATGGGCATTAAGCAAGATTGGCTTGAAAGGGTCCCACTGGTTGGAACTTGCCGAGGTGGAAAATTCTGGCTTACACCAAGTTGAGTATGATGATGATATACGAGAGGGTTGGGATTAACTTGTTGCATTTGAGCTGAATGGGCATTATGGGGAGGAGGGGGAGGAGGAGGAGGAAGGTGTATAGGATGTGCACCTGATTGCTGTGGGGATATGGATGTATAACTAACCTGCCCAGCCTGAGCACCATAATTACTTTGACCATACATCTCAATAACCAAACTTTAAGGACACAACCTCTGCTTAATAAAATTTGTGCCGATCGTAAATATATTCCGCAAGCAAATCATCAAATCAAAAGCATAATGCAACCATCTGAAACAGGGGTCAGAGAGAATGAGTTATTTGCAAATTCAGACAAAGAAAAAGAGCCGACACAAACATGCATGCACATAGATAAATGGGATGAAAACTCTCATTTTACATGCAAGGGACAACCATTAAAGCAAGGAGTTTATTATAAAGAAAAAAATGCAGGAGATAAATTAGACAAGTTAATAACCAATAGGCCAACAAAAATTCATGTTGAAAAATCTGAGAAGAATCATTGAACTAGATATAGAAGTGTTTCTTATGACAGAAAACAAGGAAAATTATTCATTTAGGAGAGATTCTATTAAAGTCCATAATAAGCAATTTCTTATTACTTGCAGCAAGCACAAGAAATCTTGATGGTTGATTCCAAATGCCTAATGAACTGATCGCCCATGCAATACTACAAGAACTACACTAACCAGTCAAGCTTCCATTTTTCTCTGAGCTTAAACCACATTGCTGACTTCCCAACTGGGAAAAAATCTAAAAAATGCTAGTAATAACTTTCATCCTCAATAAAAACATCAACCCTTCCAACAGGAAGAATATCAGTAAATTCCTAAGCTGCCAAATGTAATGCAATAAAGGCATGCTGTTGAGATCCCTAACATCAAATCCTAACTGATTGTTTCAACTCAAAAAATGAGCACTTAACCTGTGCAGCTTTATAATTTAAAGCAAAGCGCACATTTATCTTTTAAAAGAATTATAAAGGTAAAAATAGCTCATGTAAATGTCTATCTGTTTGCAGTGATTTCTGTTTCCTCGCTGCACCATCCAAAAAATACGTGCATAAATAAGTAAATACGGAGTAGTAAATAACCATGGCAAGTTCTGCTAAAATAATGGATGCGTTAAGAGGAGATGCTCACCGAGCTGCTCAAACTGAGCTGCGATGGACGGCAGGGAGAAAAAATAACGTGGATGTCTTGGAAGAACTCAATCGGAAGCCATAAAACTGAAAACCCCAAATTTGATCATTCTCCAGAGCAGATAGTTCTCCAGATTCAGATATGAAGAGAACGAGGAGGAAGAGGTTAAAACTTAAAACCCTAGAACATATTCTTCCAATTGGAAAATCCCTAGGTACGGAGTATATTCTGGTTCGGATTTGATTTCTAACGTGCAGGACAGAGGAGTGAAATCTTACACGGCAGTTCTTACTTGGCTTGTCAACTGGCTAGGCTTTATGAAGAAATGCCCGGACCAGACCGGACCGAACGGTTTGAATTTGATCGATTGGTAGTTGGAAGTAAAACCTGCATTTAGCACTTGCATAGATCTTATTTGTCTCCCAACGTAATTGACATTTATTAAATATTACGGGATTGTTTCGTCATCGCTAGCTAAAGGAACTATTTCAGATAATATTATATTTTGGAGAACTTACGGTACTTCATTCGTAAAATTGGTCACATCCCCTCTTAATCCTTCTTCCAGCCCGTGTCTTGCCTCTCTCTAAATGTAGTCATTAGGGGGAGGGGGATAGGGTTCGGGGTAGGGCAAGAGTTGAGGTGCGGGGTTCATGGGGTTAAGAGAGCAGGGCATGCATGGATGAGGGGAGGGGTTAAGGATTTTCAGAAAGTTACCATTTTTATGTACATTGATGTAGTGAAAATGACTTGTTTAGAGTAGTAATATAGATATTGCAATGTGATGTTATTTTAAGATCGTTTCTTTCAAAATATAAAAATTCGTGTATGATTTTTTTGGAATGGGCTGAATTTTATCCATGCAAAATAACATAAAAATAATTTATTTATGTAAACAATAAAAGCATACAACTACTAAATTTAAAATAATTAACTTACATTATATTTATATATATATATATATATAGCTTGAATGTCGTACCCCGTAAATGTTTTAATGTGCCAAATAAGTCTTCAAACTGCTACTAACATTATTTACAGAAATAAACCAAACGCCAAACCTCTATTAGCTTGATTAACATCACTGAGATGTACTTCTACGAGCTTAGAAATATTTGTGTAAAGGTAACGATATATTTTAATGCTTTACTTATGTCCTTTCACTCAAAAATTATTTCTAAAATATCAAATATATTCTTAGTTGGGGTTATTTTGAAAACGGAACATAAAAAACGAGTTTTGGAACATTTCACAGGTTTAACGGTACCTGGCTACCGTGTACACGGCACCAGGGTACTGTCGATAGCCAACCAAACGTACCGTTGTACGATTCACTTGGGTGGTACACGGTACCCCCTACCGTGGTAACGGTACCTGGGTACCGTCGGTAGCCTTCAAACGGTTGGCCAAGCCGTTTTACCCCAGGTACCGCCATAGCCGAACCAATTTTATGGCCTAGCCGGTTCCCCCTAACACTAGGCTGTACCGTTGTCATGGTGCCTAGGTACCGATTGGTACTGACCCTACCGTGAAGGGTACCGTAACCGTTATCAGCACTGCAGCTAATTGCCAATTTAAATTCAAATCACCCCAAATCACTTCCTAATGGAATTTCACGTTAAAAACTCATATTTTAACTTTCCAAACTCCTATATAAACCCCCTCTAAGTCTCATTTTAATAGAACAACTTCCCAATTATATCTAAAGCCTATTTCTCTATTCTTGAGTGTCTCTTAAAGCTTTGTTCTTATTTTTCTTACTCTCCTTGGCAACGGTAGCAAGATATAACAAGAAATCCTAGAAATATAAAAATCACACAATTTTTTAAAAAGGGCTCCTAAAACGGGTTCTTTTCAACTTTTAAAGATCACACAATGTTATTAAAAAAGCATCTAGATAATATGTGGATGATAGTTTTAGAAAAAAAATTCGAAGGAATGCCTAGAAGAGTTTCAAACTTTTTATGGCCATTTTACCAAGAAAATGGGAATAAGACTAAAAACGAATTTATAAAGTATGCATTTGTCATCTTTCAGAATAAAACACAAAGAAAATAATGAAGTTTTTGGGTCAATGTTAAAAAATAATGCTCCAAATAAGGAGATATGCAACTAAGAAATTGTGGACCCAAAATTTATTTTGAAAAAAAATTCCCAAAAATATACTCTCCCAAACAATGGAATAAATTCATCACGTTTCTCTCCTTGATGTGTTCGATGGACCCAAAATTTACAAAAACATGGCTAAGGTTCCGTTCCGTTCAACTTATTTTTTCTGATTTGATCTAATTATAATAAGTTCTGATCTGATCTGGTCTGATCTGATCTGATCTGATTGGATCTGATCTGATCTAATCTTATCTGATTGGATCTAATATGATCTGATTGGATATGATCTGATCTGATTGGATTTGATCTGATCTGATTGGATCTGATCTGATCTGATTGGATCTGATCTGATCTGATTGGATCTGATCTGATCTGATCTGGTTTGATTAATTATGATTTAATTTAAAATTTCAAATCAATAATTTAATTTGACTTTATAATAACAATTGAAAATTGTAATGATAATTCATATTATAATATAATCAATATTTTTTATTTAATGATTATTTTTTAATAAAATAAAAATAGTTAATTCATATATTAGAATAATCATTCATATTATAATGTAATAATATTTTTTATTTTATGATTATTTTTTAGTGAAATTAGAATTATACATTAGAATAAATATTTAATTTAGATATACATTAAAAAGTAAATAAATTTAGATAATTAATATATAGAAGAGATAGTATTTTTATTAAAATATCTCATCCTTATAAAAGATCAAAAGTTTAGAAACTCAAATAACAAGTTGCAATAAAAATAAATTTTAAAAGTAGAATTAGATTGACATTGTCAATGTATTTTAAAACTAATTTTTCCGACGTTTAATAATTAAGGATTACTTTCTCAGTTTTCTATTTAACCTATTTCTTGAGTTTATTCTTTTTCATTTTTAAGAACAATAATAACAATAATGATGATGATGATCATAATAATAATAATAATAATAATAATAATAATAATAATAATAATTCTTGATGCGATCTGATTTTAATAAGTCCTAATCTGATCTGATTAGATCTGATCTGATATGATTGGATCTGATCTGATCTGATTGGATCTGATCTGATTTGATTGGATCTGATCTGATCTGATTGGATCTGATCTGATCTGATTGGATCTGATCTGATCTGATCTGATCTAAATCGATCTGATCTGATCTGGTCTGATCTGATCTGATTTTAATAAGAATAAGAAAAAATAAGAAAAAATAAGTTGAACGGAACGGGGCCTAAGACAAAGTCTTTTTAGCATTAAAGAACAAAAAATCAGATTTCAAATATGTAGACACATATAAGCTGTGGAATGTGTATATTTTTCATTCTACACTAAAAGAATAGCTTAGAAAGTGTATGTTTTTCAGTTTATAGCCCAAAAATCAGATTGAGATCAGAAGTGTAGAATTTTTCCATTAGTACCCAAAAATCAACTTTAAAAGTGCAGAATTTTTAAGATTTTCAGCCCATATATGATCAAATGTAAATACCCAAGGCTTTAGAAAATAGAAAATTGACATTATACCAACACCCGGGCACTGAGAGCTCCTGTTTCAAAACAGATTTTGCACCTTTTTGTGCAGATTTTTTTACTCCAAACACTTGTGCTTTCACTTGAAACTCAATAAATCTTGCAAAAGATCTCAAAGTAGATGGTTAGAAGCACAAGTAAAAAAACAATTAAGCTCAACAAGATCACTTTTTTTTATATTTTATACTTAGAAAAAACTAAATGAAAGAGAAACAAAATGTTACTATAATTACAAAAAGTAATATTACATCAATATAGGAAAAAAAAGTTACGGAGTACAAGGAAAGTAAGTTGATTCTTAAAAAGAAAAAGAAAATCAAATTAACGACCACAAGGAAAAAAAATTAGTACAACAACAAGTTAAAGAAGTTAAATGTAACTAAGGGTTGAAGATTCTGATATAAAACGAAGACAATATTCCCACAAATTGTACGAATAATGTAATACCCTCCGTTTCTAAATAGACTACAATTTTTTTCTTCTCTCCTCTCGATAACTTTTGTTTGTTTACGCGATTTCATTTACACTATGTTTGGTTCGGAATTTGAAAAGAAAAAGAAAAGAAAATGAAGTGGAAAATCATTTTTTTTGTTTGGTTAGAGGGGAAAAGAGAGAAAAAATGGAAGGAAAAAAATGAGGCAAAATGTATCAAGCGGATGGAAAACCAAATTTCTTCCATTTTGGTGAGAAAAATTAGAGAGAATCATTTTCTTTTCTTTTCCTTCCAAAATCTTTGAGCCAAACATAGTGTTAGTAGTATTTGATAAAATAAAATATTCTTGTCACCTCTCGTTTTGTAGAACTTTTGACGTAGTTTTTTAATATGTAATTTTTATATCTTATTAATATTTCAATTTGTAAATAAAATGATTTCAAAAAGTAAGAAATTTACTCCGTAATCTGTAATATGTAATCAAATTGGGGACGGATGAAGATAAAGAATTTTTTTGAAATTTGAAAAACAGCAAACTCGTCGCACTCACAGTACCATGAACAATTATTACAAAGGCCAGACAAGGCCAAACTCATCTCACTTCCCACTTATTATTGTTCGCTCATTCTCAGTTACCGTTCAATTTCCTGCTCCTACACTTCTACTCTCTTTTCTTCAGCTCCTTTCATTTCTACATTCATCTGTTTCCAATTCTCCATAAAAAAAATTACTCGCCAGAAACCCTCGCTCTTCTCCAAAAGATTTTGGGTTTTCAATTTTGAAATCTGGGTCTGTTCTTTCACTTCTTTGCATCTAATTTCCAAAAGAAAGGGAAAACAATATATACATATCCTTCGTTCCGACCGTCTGTATGTCTTCAAGCAAATTAAAGCAATGCAAAAACAAGAAGAAAATGTCAGTTTTTGTCAGATCTGTTAAGGTTGCAGCAGCTGTCCATGTGTGTCAAGATTTTGGTTTTTCAATTTTGAAATCTGGGTCTCTTCTTTGCATCTAATTTCCAAAAGAGAGGGAAAACAATAGATACATATCCTTCCGACCGTCTGTCTTCAAGCAAAGCAATGCAAAAGGAAAACAAAAATGTCAGTTTTTGTCAGATCTGTTAAGGTTGCAGCAGTCCAAGTGCGTCAAGCTTCCAGCCATTGTTAGTCTCTATTTTTTAATCTATTCCATCTTTATCTTGGTATGCATTAGGTAGTACTCGCGGCATTCATTATAGCGCCTTTCAAGAAAAAAAATGAATTATGGCTATTTCTTTTCACTAGTATTTAACCCGTGCAACGCACAGGATCGAACTCATGTTATTTTTAACTCCGGTAATTTTTTGTTTTAAGTAAATAATAAAAAAAATAAATGTAAATATAATATAGAATGTTAGATACAACATAAACATTGTATGCTAACTTAGATTCATGTATATAAAAAATTGAAAAGAACATAGAAACATATCAATTAAATCCAATTTTTTTGCAAAACTTCAAGGTAAACCACATTTTTCGTACAATTGCATGGGTTACCGTTGTCATCTAAAACCAACACTTTCAATCCTTTCTTAGTTTTCACTCGTGAAACTGCAACATAAAGTGGACCGTGAGTGAAAAAAAACCGATTTGGTCAAGAATAATCCAGCAAATGAGAATGTTTGGCCTTGACTCTTATTGATTGTCATGCCAAAACATAAAAATATTGGAAACTGTCTTCTTTGAAACTTAAACGGTAATCCAGGATCAGGCGGTACCAAATTTATTTTTTGTTATAAGGTATTTTCCAAAAGTCATTTTATCATGAAAACATGACTAATGCATTCCTTTATATTTGAGATATGTTTCCTAATTACTATTTTATCTCGTGTTTTCCAGATTTTTTTATGAATGAGATCTATTTTCCACTATAAGTACAAAAAAATTGAGTACTTATTAATAATTTCGATAAAAAAGATAGCGGAAATAAACCCTATTTAAGTATCATTTTTTTATTTTACACTTTTATTGATTATACGTCTAAGAGAAATAATTTCATTTGGTAAATAGTTTAATTTAAGACATTTTTCATGGATGAAATTAGTATAATAGTTTCATTCTATTGCATGCTATGTAATACTCTGATTTTCAATCATGGGAAGAATATATTTAGTTATGATATAAAGTAGGGGTTGTATGAATAATAATTTAAATTACATCAAATTATGACAACATTTTATTATATATACGTCTTTCTAATTTTTTTCAAAACATTACATATATTGGGAAAAAATGTATTGTACTTATTAAAAGAGGTCATTCTAGATTCTCATTACCAAATAAAAATTATATTATTAATTTATCATCTTAACTTCGTATAATTTATATTGTCTGTTAAAACTTCATAAATATAACTAAATAATAAGCAATTTTTCTTTATTAAGTGTTCAATTATAAGTTATTTCATCAATATACATTAATTTATGAAGAATATTCCTCAAATAGTCCTCTGAACTCCTGGCTTAAATGAATTTCGAGATTTTTCGCCAAAATTATTTTTGTAATAAGTTTTTTTCCAAAAGTATTCTTATCTTGAAAACATGACTAATTTGTTCATTTATATTTGAGATTTTTTTCCTAAAAATTACTTTGCATTTGAAATGTGTGCCCCTAATTTTTTAATAAGGAGATCTATTTTCCACTATAGATGCTCAAAAAATATTTTTATTATTTATTACTACCTTAGATAAAAAAGAACATGAAAATACCCTATATCTAAGCATCATATTTTTCATTTTACACTTTTATTCAATTATACGTCTACAATTAAACATTGTTGATGTTAAATATTTTAAATTGAGACATTTTTTCATGGATGAAATTAGTACAGTAGTTTCATTCTATTGCCAACTGCGTAATACTTTAATTTTCAATAATTGAATCAATTTATTTAGTTATAAAAAAAATTCACATGAAGAAAATTTTTTATTACATCAAATTATTACAACATTTCACTATATATAATTCTTTATATTTTTTTGAAAAATAATATATAGAATGGGGAAAAAATATACCTCACTTATTTTTCAAACACGGAGGTTGGAATATATTGTTTAAAATTGAGGGGGCTTCTTGGTCAAATAAGTTTTTTTAAAATCATCCCTAACTGCTAGCTTGATCAAATATCCACCAAAAACAGATTAAGCATTTTAAGTAATTTTAAATAATCATGTTCAGAAAGATGAATATAGGAAAAGGAAAAAAAACCTTGGGGTGACATTCAAAACACGACATGCATAGTGCATGCAATAGTACATGGTACCATCCGCTCTCACAGCTCTATTACACTTGCAAGCTAAATAAAACCAATCCCCACCACTGTTAACCGCCTCAACAGTGGCATACACTACATAGGAACCATCTGAATATGTAGAACTCATTTTTTTTCTTTTTTTCACATTCATAGATTTTAGTTGTTCTATTTTGGTCTCCTTGTGAATTCATGGATCCTCCCTTCTTCATCAATCTCCATGAGTTGTTGCATCGGAATCAAAAAAAATTGCATGAGCGTTCATATAACAAACCTGTTTTAGCGTTGAATTCTCAGATGGTTCGGCTCTAGTTGACACTTAGGGGGTGTATTCAATCTAGATTTTATAAGATTCTGATAGATTGTTTAGAGTCTGTTGATTCTGTAAAATCAATGGATTAATAAAAGTTTACGCAGAGTTAGCTAGATTTTACTGTATTTTATCAACGGATTTCATAGGATTCTAGTAGATTGTTTATAATCAATGGATTATTTATTCTTTTATAAATTCATACATTATGCTAACATTAATTATATTTATGAAATTGAACAAAAACTTAAACTAAAAGTAATATATTAAAATAAAAATAAATTATTTTTTAAATATTATTATCATTATTATATATTTATTAGCACAAAATAATACTCCCTCTGTCCTAAAATTTTCTTCCCGCTTCTCCTTTTTCTCCGTCTTAAAACTACCTTCCCATTAGAAAAAAAAGATGACAAATGACATTAATACCCTCATGTATTTACACCAATTATCTTCTAACTCTATATTTTGAATGATTAAAACAAAAAATTTTCAAAAAATCTTTTTTTAAGAGGGTAAAATTTGAAGTCAAAGCCAAAAATTAAAAATGGGGAAAAGTCAAACTGGGAAGAAAGAATTAGGACGGAGGGAGTATATGAGTATGTACCATAAAAATATAATACAATACTACAATTCTAAAGTATATGAACCATAAGAAGATATTAAACCAAACATATTTTAGGAACAACTTAATAATAATACGCAAGTACCCAAAAACAATTTAATAAACTAGAGTACTCTTAACTCTCAGCAAAAACAAAGTCAAATAAAACATTTAAAATAAAATCACATAATCCTTTCATTCATCCTAATATATCTTCTCATTTTACCCTCTCATCTTGTGGTGTATCCAACTTAACCGTTCTTCAGGTGACATCTTCAAGAAGACATCTTTTTTTCCTTTGTTATCAAGCAACTCAACCGCCTTAAACTGGGTTTCCTCATCTAAGCCCGGGATATCCTTGATGGCATCCCAAATTGTATATTCTCTTTCTCTTTCTCTTTTCTCTAGCAGGCTATAAATTCCTTTGAAACTTGTAGATATTTTGTTTAGCCTTTCCATGACGCCACTTCCTTCATATGTACTCCTGTTTCTTTTGGTTTGTGTTATTTTTTGCATGGGAACCTCGTGACTTTTAGGAGATAAGAGCGGTGATATGGAGGGAAAAGGTGGGTCACTTTGAGATTGACTTATGAATGCATCATTTTCCAAGTCATAATCAAGGTCATCTATATGCACATCTCTCTCTTCTCTTGCGCTCAATGTTCTTGCATCAGTTGTACTACCTAACCCAATTGAGTTTTTTCCAACAGCTACACCGTTACCAATTGCGATTTCCAAGTTCTCATAATCCTGAAATTTTTCATAACGTAACTTGTTGCTATGCTTTGGATGGGCCTATAAAACAACATAAAAACAAATTTATTATTGCATTACATCTTTCAAAAAAGAAAGGAAAAAAGAAAGTATCCATTGTGAAAAAGAAAGGAGTATATATAAAAAAGAAAGTATCTCATTGTGATATTGCTACGAAAGTAAAAAAGAAAGGAGTATATATAAAAATGCATAAAAATTAGTACCAGATAGGAAAAAAAGAGTATCCACTGTTTTTGTCTCCATATTTTCACACACTAATAATTTTCCTCATTAGCCCTCATAAAATAAATTGTACCAGATATGAAAAAAAAGAAGAGAGCAAAAATGCTGGTTTTCGTGCCAGAAACACTTGTTTATACAAACTCCCAACTCTCATCTATTTATTCCTGCCAGGAACACTTGATTTCCAAAATTAGGTAATACGGAGTACTTCCCAGTTATTGCTGAAATGAAAGCCCTTATATTATAAGCTAGTTATTATTATTATATATAAGCTTCTTATTAATTACGGAGTACTCCATATTATAATCAAATGGCTTCCTCTGCAGCTACTAGCAGTAAGTTTAAACAATTGAATACATAAAATAAGTTGCCCCACTCGTGTAGTAAAACCTGAGTGCAACACGAGTGTCAATGGAGGATCGGCAATTGCTTTTCTCTTATTGGGTTCAATAAGTAATTCTAGGGTTTGAGTGCAAAAAAAAATACAGAGTGATAGAGAACAAAAATGCTCAAACATTCCATGAAAATATTTTTTAAAAAAAACGGAACGCAATACGAGTGACCAATTGATTTTTTAAACAAAAAAATAAAGAAAAAAACAGATTGAAGGGAAGAAAACAAGCCTATAACTTGGAAGCATAAACAGAGGACCATAATATATACTGGAATTCTAATATACACTGGATTTCTCAAGCCAGAGGACCATATTCATACAAAAAAAATTCATAATAAAAAAGAAATTTATTATAGTTTATTG